TCACCTTGTCAAAATCTACAGCCATTGTCTTCAGGATCGAGGGATTCAGTATAGCTCAAGGCTCACCAACGCTCTATTTCTACTTTCGTTAGGACAAGGTCGTAAGGGACATGAAGTTTTCAAGGCAAATCTGCATTTGTTCCTAATCCGTCAACAACTTTGTTGGGCCAGCACCACGCCCAAAAAACAAGGTAGAGGTCGAAATTACAAGGCCGAGGAAAATATTGACATAGGGAGTCCCATGTAGAGAACAAGAGCAAGAGAAGACTTCAAGTTGGGCCTCCGCCCCGGAGTCTGCCCTATACGTGCACAGCTTGGATTTCTAATAATAGAGTACATCCTGAGACTGTTAAACCATTGATGATTACTATTAAATGTCAAGACCAGGACCGCTCACGACGAACAAACCAATCAAATGGAACGCATACATTGATAAGTACATACAACATCATGCTTAAGCACAGGATCGACTCACCAATCTCATGATTCATCTTGATCTCGTCTAACTGATCAAACTCGGGATCTCTCCAGATTGACTCGCGCAGGCCTGCAGTTATGCCAGGATCATCAGTGTGGACGGTGGAGACGCGTTGACTAGCTTGTGGTCCGGTCGTGGTGATGGTTGAAACAGCGTGGCTGTAGGCTCCGGCCCTCCGGCGCTTCCGGGGGAATCTCCAAATCGGGGCGGCGTTCTCGTAGTATGGACTCCGGAATCCGCAGGGATAAGATAGCATTAAGTTGTTGTCAATTTCTCCCGTTTATTCTTCCATTTCCCATTGAATGAATAGTAAATTGCTGAGCACTATGAGCCCCACTAGCTAATCATTCACTTCTTCTTATTGTTATTGATTTCTGATCCCTCCTTAGAGATCTTTCTTGCCCCACCTTATTGTTCAATGACACGAACCTCATCATGGAAGACCACACGCCTTCCGTTCTCTGACACCCGCATCAACTTATTGTGTGGCCACCCACAAAGTTCCTACATCGTTATTGTGGACTCGGTTTCCTTGCAACCGCAGGATCTACTTAAACACCTGGTATGGCACGTTTAAAGTACATCAAGACCCCTTCCCAGCTACTCGCTAGACTTCCAATCGTTAAGTGCTGTTATCATTTTTCCTCGCTCTAGGTCAGTAGCCATTATATTTTGCCGCATGAGTGCCAAGCTAACGAGGACTGTTGTGGCAGAATGTCTGCCAGAATTCCCGGGCAATATCTTGTACAATCAGATACCACCACCCAGCCAGACGTGTCCCATCTCGATGATGATGTCCGGAGATACGACTGGCTATTCAAAGACGGCCCATACCACCTCGGCAAACCAATCGTCGAGCATTGGGCTGAGCAGCAGACGCTCAGCATCAAACTAGGAAACACCCATATCCAGCATATGGATATCAGCCCCGTGGAGCATCTCCAGCGTCTGATCGACGAATTCATCGACCCCAGCGCCCCGTTCCAGATAATCGCGGACTTTGACCCGGGGAAGTGGCCTTTGGTACAGGGGTATCGTCGTCTGGGAGAATATCTGGCCTTCTTGGGTACCCATGAACTAGACTTTGCCAGCTGGACCAACCTAGAAATATGCCTCCCTGATACCGCGATCCCATTCCAATCGCCATCGACCCCTTTGATACCATCAGATGCCCTCACGAATCTACAATATCTGTCGTACTTTGGCCATCGTAATCAGCTCGTCAACTCATGGCTTCCTCTCACCCCCTCCATCACTCAATCACTCTCCAACCTTGACATAAATTGCGAAATCTCAGTCGGAGACTGTGTGCGCATCCTCCTTCATGGAATACGGCTCAGGCATTTCTTTGTGGACAACATCGAAGAAGACACCGACGAAGTGCTCGTCGACAGTATGCCTTCACCCTCGAAATACCGCCACGGGGAGCACATCCGACCCCATCTCGATTTCTTAAAAATCAAGTCCGCCGCGGACATCACTCCGCTCCTCCTCCCGTTCTTCTTCCCGTCGCTGAGGACACTCAGCCTTGTTCTCGAGTATCCGACGAAGCTGAAGGCCCTTCCTCCGGCGTTCGAGTGGAAGCACTTGAACATGATGTCTGCCGTATGCGATATCACCGACGACGACTCTCAGTGGATCCGCAATGCGTGTGGGCCTGATACGATGCATACCCATATCAACCTTTCTAGGTACTTGGAACACGCCCAATGATCTAGAACAGTTAATTCAAACTACATCTCTTACTTATCATCACCAACAATCATCCTTGCAGGTCGAGCTTCAAATATGAGTTTCAAGTACATGATATCGGGTCCACTTTGAGCTTGCCTTGCGAACATTGCTTACAAGAAACCAAATATGCATGCATAATGTGTGGTATGACAAGTACAAGGACAAGTACCAGAGAGGATAATGCATAGGTAAATCAGACGCGAAGCGTCCTCATAGAAGGAGGAAGGACAGGAAATGGGGCATAGGGATGTTAAAAGATGTGCGTAGAGCTTTTTACAAGAGGTTCCAGAGCGCGACGCTCACCAGAAAGAGACTTCCTCCCCATTGTGTAAATGGATCCGGAGGAGGAGGGTCATAACACGTACAACAACAGACCTAGTAGCAGAACCATGATCAATAAAAGTACCAGCTGAAATGGAGGCTTCAAAATTCTCCGTTTCTTGTCGGCATACAGTCGGGGCCCTTCTGCATTTTTGGGTGAGATATGAGTAGCACGGAGAGATTCAATATTGCCCACCGATGAAGTTGATGCAATCGTAGACTTCCAGGAGGCTGTAAACTGCGAACGGGGAAAGGTTGTCTTTTGTAGTGGGCTCTACAGGCTTCCACCGGATAGGTGAAATGGGCTGTATCCTTGTCATTAATATCAAGCATCCAATGGGGTACATAGGTGTAAAGCTCACAATGGCGTCCAGACCCCAAAGCTCCTTGACGAGCCTCAGATCGAAGCCCGTGGCTCGGTCCAAAGGCAGAATGGCTTCGCGGCTAGCCGTCAAGAACCTCTTTTGTACATGGTCCAAGGAGTCAAAGAGCCGAACGTGAACATATCTGGGCATTAAATCAACCTCTCATCGAAATGTAAGAGATGATTCTTACCCGTCCGGTACATGAGGGCGTAATTGGTACATATACCCTCGATGCTTTAACGGTAGCTTATACAGAGCCTTCTGGTATATCTTGAAAACAGGAGGCTTAGATTTGCCACCATTTTTGACACTTGCGTCGTGCACATTCCAGAGAAGTTGACCCCGAGCGGGGACTTCTCGGTAACCACGAGGCCTTGTGTGTCCATGACGGTCGTATGTTATCGAGCGTGAAAAGTAAGACATCTTGGCGGGGTTGCAGAAAGAACTAGATGGATCCTAACACAGCAGGCGCCTGGTGAATTTTAAAGGTACGAGTACAAGGTCGTCATGGTGCAGTCTTTTGGCGATTCTCTGAAGTGCAATACTAGTAGCCACTTCGACTTCTACCCAATCGGTCAAGAGAGTACAAGGCCTCTTTGACAACGGGTATTAAGTACATTGGGGATTCTCCGAATCGGCGAGTACAAGGCTTGACGAAATGAGCATAAGGCCAGTCAAACCAAAACAGGACATCGTTACATTGATTTCCTGGAGAACCTGTCAGAATAAGGTCAGTTTGATTGCTTGTTACTATGCCCTGAGTTTCAGGTTGAACCGCTGAAGTTTGAATTTTAAGTTGTAGGTCAATAAAGGCCGAAAGACGCCCGCCGATTTTGGCGGAACAGAACTCAATTCGGCCCGGACGATGTCACTGCACACGGTGCTACATTAGTGTTACCACCAATGGTGACGCCCTCACCCTCCAGTTTGTCACCACCAGCTCTGCTCACGTCTCTACCTCCTTAACTCTGATACCGAGTATGAGATGTTCAAGATGGTCGACCAAGAGTTCAGATGTGTCCAACCTTAACGGTGCCCTCTACTTCTCTAAGATGGTGGCATGGTCAAGTACCACATCAACGCGGCTGGTGCTAAGTACGGAAGTGGTTACTGCGACTCTCAGTGCCCCAGAGACTTGAATTTCATTGCTGGAGAGGTGTGTTTATACCCCAGCTTTGCTTGTTTTATTTATTTATTACAGGCTAATGCTGAGGGTTGGACATCGTCTAGCAGCGACACCAACGCCGGTACGGGCAACTACAGATCCTGCTGTAACGAGATGGACATTTGGGAGGCGAACAAGATCTCTGCTGCTGTAACACCCCATCCTTGCAATGTCGACGGTCTTGACAGTTGTTCCTGCACCGCTTGCGGTACTGACGATCGCTACACAACCGTCTGCGACCCCGATAGCTGCGACTTCAACTCCTACCGTATGGGTGACACGAGCTTCTACGGCCCTGGACATACCACCCAAGAAGTTCACTGTCGTCACTCAATTCATCTCCTCCGATGGCACCGCGACCGTCGACCTCACCGAGATCCGCCGTCTGTCCAGAACGGTGTCGTCATCCAGAACTCCAACACCAATATCCCTGGCATGTCTACCTATAACTCTATCACTGAAGACTACTGTGACGCTCAAAAGGCCGCGTTCGACGATGAGACTCAGTTCCAGTCCAAGGGTGGTCTCACCCAGATGGGCGTAGCTGCCAAGAACGCATCTGCTCTGGCTCGACTCTGACTACCCCACAACCTCCGATCCCTCCACCCCCGGCGGTGGAACTTGTGCCACAACCTCTGGTGTCCCCTCCGACATTGAGACCAACTTCTCCCCCAACGCCTCTTGTCACCTACTCTAACATCCGGCTCGGTGATATTGGACTGGCCCTACCGTCACAACGGGATCTACCTACACCTTTTAGCAACACGTACTACATCAAGTGACTTGAAATCCTAGGACGTTGGAAAGGGCAACAATCCAGGTACAGGTACACCTTGGCTTGTTTCTCACCAAACGTGAAAAAGGCGATTGTTTATTGTAAATACATATGCGATAAGCAGCCACTTGATTAGCGATCGCAAACCAAAAGGTATCACATTCCGACCTGCCTGGATCGAACAGGCGACATTGAGATTCAAGCAACCATTACAGTCTCACGCTCTACCAACTGAGCTAAGGTCGGTATACATGTGTTACCCAAAGCTTACTTACAGATTTTCAGGTTACGCCCAGACCCGTTGCAGACCCCGTTGCTGTCGACCTCGACAAGGTTGAAATCTATTCAACGTGTTCATGATGACTTCCCCCGTTTTTCTCGCCACTCGTCTCATGAAGGGCGGGCCTAACAAGATTGACAAACTCTCGTTGTCTTTGTGATCCTCCTAATTCACCAGGGTTGCCACCGGTGGCGCCACAAACTATATTCACCTGACCAATCCTGAGAGCGCTGAACTCATAAATCTGTTCAAGGTAACAGTCCGCATGATGGGCTTCCCAGCTTATGTATGGTATTGAGCGACGGTGGAAGAACATCCCGATGTGTCACTTTTTTTTCTCTTTCGGTTTCCGTTGGTGCTTCTTGCTCACTTTTTTCTGCAGACACTGCAGTCGGGCTAGCTCCTGGTCATACGAAAAGGAGGTTCTAGGCCTGGGATATTGTCAGGCAGGGGAACTCACTTTCTGTCTAGGAAGGGTATGTATTAGGGTAGAATGGTGTTTTCACAGCGGTACAAGATGTGTATTTGTGACGACTTTATGGACGTGTATGATATGTCTTCCTTCTGCCCCCTATGTACGCTGAATTTTATTGAGATTGTCAACATCACAGACAACTCATGATCAAGAGTCTTCTTTGGGCAATCTTGGCCAATGCACGCGATATTGATCGCTTCAGGATCTTGCTACGGGAACACATTGTCTCTACATGTAACTAAGTTTGGGTCGTCTACAAATACCATCCGGTGTACTACAGTTCTGGACTTGCAGCACCCCAACGACGCCGATTCCCTCATTGCAGTAATTCCGATCGTCGCCACATTTTGACACGTGAAACACACAAAAGGGGCCTCTCCTATAACTCGGTGCTCAAGGTGGGTTGCTCCTCCCTATTCCTCTCTCTCAATGTGGCGCACTAACACAGCCACCGTTCTTCTACCAACCTAGAACGCGATAGGAGGCACCCCTAGCGCCACATGATCGACTTGAACGCATCGCATCGCACCGCCTCGTCGACGTCATACCAATTCTTCGTCTGCATAAAAGGACGAGGAATCCACAATGGAAGTCATTACCCCACGTTCAAACACCATCACTATAAGCCCAACCTTAGCAACAAATCACCACTCTCAGCACTCTTGATCATATCGACACCATGAAGTTCCTAACCTTCGCTCTCACCGCTATCATCAGCCACACTGCTCTCGTCGCCCCGTCGATGGGTGCACCCATCCCTAACAGTCACGATCTTTTCGAGGTTCGTACACGCCATTTTCTGTACGAAGTCCAGAAGCTAACATAACTATATATTACAGAGAGGCTATTCTTCTTATAACTACTACAACTCCAACTCCAACGACAACTCACGCAATCGCCGGATTCCCTGGAACTGTCCCTCATTCCACAGAGGCGGTAATGGAGGCAATGGCGGGAACGGAGGGAACGGAGGGAACGGCGGCTGGAACAAAAACAACGACAACGACGACTGGTACTACAACCAGTGGTGGAGCCCCAAGAGCGGTGGAGGAAACGGCGGGAACAGTGGAGGGAAGAAGAACCCGTGGGGCGAAAGCTCTGGTGGTGGAAATGGCGGAAACGGTGGCAATGGTGGAAGTGGTGGAAACGGTGGAGGCAAGAACAATCAATGGGGTGGAAATGGTGGAAATGGTGGAAACGGCGGAAACGGCGGCAACGGTGGGAATGGCGCTGGAAGCAATGGCGCTGGGAGTGGTGGAAATGGCGGAAACGGGGGTAATGGGGGAAACGGGGGTAATGGTGGAGGCAGTACGAGTGGTGGTGGCGGAGGTGGAGGAAGTGGCGGCGCTGGAGGAGGTGGAGGCAGCGGCAGAGGCGGTAGCTCGGGAGGCAATGGAGGAAACGGCGGAAACGGTGGGAATGGCGCTGGAAACAATGGTTCTGGGAGCGGCGGAAAGGGCGGAAACGGGGGTAATGGTGGAAACGGGGGCAATGGG